AGTCCCTAGGTTGTGTGCACACTGTCAATAATCCATGAGGCTGAACCAAAAAGAAAAGCATTTTATTGGATTGTTTCGGGTCCAGGTTGTCACTGTGCATTGAATGGACTCAACAGGAAATTGGAGATGCAGGAATGTTAATTCAAGTAGCAGATGTAACACACAAACAAGAAGCTCGGCAAATTGGAAATTAATCCTGGCCGGACCCGCTCTGTGTCAGTGTTTTCCTCTCCACTTGCACTGTGCCTGTATCATGGGGCTCTTGGCATATGGTGTCTGCTGTGTATCATTTCTCAACAAATCATTTGTGAGTTCTGAAAAAGGATCCTGAGTCATAGAAGGAAAAGAATAAAAATACTCCCCAGGTCACCAAAGCCTGTGTCCCCTGGGCCAGGGCACAGTTGTTGCCCAAAATACATCTCTCAGAGCTTTGCTTGACCCAGTTTTAAACGTCGTCACCATCAACTTGTATTTTTGCTTATGCGTCCGGTTGCACACCTCTGTCTCTGTAAGGGACATCAAGGACTTTAGACGCGAGGTCTCGGCAACAACTCTCTGTCCTCCTGCCCTCCCTCCTGCCCCTGGGTTGCCTTGCCTTGGCCTTTGCTCACTATGAGTGATGCACATTTAATTCTTACCAGCGTTCTGGACAAGCCAACCTTTTGAAACCTTTCATTTTTCATTATTATTCCTTCAGCTTTGGCACTCCTGCAATCCTTAGGCTGTTTTGGTTCCTCTGAACTCTGCCTTCGTCTGGCTGCCGCCCTCTGGCTCTTTGAGGAACCCATCTGGAGAACAGGACAGTGTTCAAGCTTCCCGGGCCCCAGGAGCCCCCAGTTGCACCTTTTCTTCTTGGCTGGTCCCTCCCTCTCACCCATATCCTCCATCCTGTGTCCTCCGGGCCTTGGTGACATATGTCCAGCAGCCTACCTGGCCATTTCCAGCACGCAGTTCTAACTCCTGACATCTTCTCGTATTACATCTCTGTCCTCCCTGATGTTTGCTACATCTCCCAATTTAGTATCATCTGCAAATTTAATTAACATGCCGTTGCCTCCCTGTTCCAGACCATTAATGAAGATGTTATGGCAGTACCCAGCAAACAATATTTTCAAGGTCATGAGGAGAGGAGAGCTAAACTGCTAATACCTCTGCCCACTGTGGGAGAAAGAGGCAATCAAGTGCTCACATGTGGTTTGAGCCATTTCCTCTGAATTTTGTCAACTTCCTTTCCTAGACTTGGGTAAGGTTTCTACGCCTCCCCTCTCCCTCGGCTGCTGCATATCCGTGGCAATTCCCACTTGGAAAATGAAGAACATCAGATTATGCCTTCCTTTTATTTTTGTCCAGTTTCTAGCAGGAGGGAAACAGCCACCAACTGAGCATTTGTAGGGAGAGCCAAGGTACATGGTAAAGACAAAGTAGTGGCTATTAGGCTTGTTATTTACCCAACTCCATTTCTAAAGCACTAACCGTGGCAGTGGAAAATGCCCAGCGAGGACCAAGGCACAAATAAGGTAGAGAAGACGTATTCCTGGTGAGATGGTTCCCAAAGGGCTGGCCCACACGGCCTGCAGCCCAGAGGGGTGTGAGCGGAGGCCACTGCATCCCAGCAGCTTGTGACCCCAAAGCAGACCTGGAGCCCCTCTGTGAGTCTACATTCCCCTTTTGCATTAGCAGGCACAGCTCATTGTGAACCCTGGTTTGCCTTCCTTCCACACCGAACTGCAGATGTCACACTGTAATACTGCAAATTACTTGGGTCAGAAACACTGAATCATGGGAGCGATCCAGGTTAGTGCTATTCACGCCCAGAAAATTGATCCTGGGTTATTTACTGTTTCCCACACTTCCCTTCTCCCCATCTCTCACTACAGGCCTGCCTTGGGCTTGGAGGCTCCTAATCATTTCTCAGACAGAGTGTCTTGGAGGCGTCTCTGGACCAGAGCCCAGACTGGCCCAGCAGAGGCAGGGCACGGATCTCAGAGCTCTAGAACAGAGGGGCCCTGAGAAAGTGGCCTCAGATGTCTCCCTGTGCTCAGTGGATAGACCTGGTCTGCCATCTGCAGTCCTCCTTCCAGCCCAAGCCTGGCCTCTCCAAGCCTAAGGACATACAGCAGAAGCGGCACTTGTTTCGGTTGCTCAGCTCAGGCTGCCTCATGCTCAGAGACCTCATGGGGGGTGGCTTAAGGACAGAGTGGCAGGTTTATAGAATTGGTACCAGGCCACTGTTTTGTGTCTTCCCCAGCTACAAACATCCCTATGCACACTCACCAAACAATGAGGGGCAGAAGAACAGAGTTATTTAAAAATAAATAAATAAATAAATACTTCATTCTGAAGCCAGACTCCCTGGCCTGGCCATTTGAATAGCTGTGTGACCTTGGGTCCATTATTCCACTTCAGTTTCCCCACATGTAAGTTGGGATAATAACCACACGAACCTCAGGGCTGTTGTGAGGTTCTAAAAAGCAGACGTGTGTAACATCTGGCTGTTATTTACCACATGCTCTAGACACTGTTGAGGTCAGGGACCAGCACACATTTTCTACAAAGGTCCATGTAATAAATATGTTCAGCTTTGTAAGCCACAGGTCTCTGCCACAGCTACTTAAACTCTGCTGTTACAGCCCCAAAGCAGCCACAGGTAACACATAAATGAATGAGTGGATCTGTTCCAATATAACTGTATTTATGAACATGGAAATTAAATTCGCGTGTCACTACACATTCTTTTGATATTTTAATTATTAAAAAATGTGAAAACTGGTTTTAGCTCACAGGCTGTAAAAAAAAAAAGTGGCAGGCTGGTTTGGTCCGTTTTGCCTGTCCTGGTCTAGGTGCTAGAGATGCAGATGTGATGTGCCCCATCACAGCAGCCCATGCTTATAGATGGAGCCCTCCAGAGCATCCCCAACCCTGAGAAGCTGATAGACTACTTCCCGACTCTCAAGGGACTATTTTGCCCCCACCAAGGTCTGTGACTTTGTCTTTTTTTTTTTTTTTTTTAAGAGACAGGGTCTCACTCCGTTGCCCAGGCTGGAGTGCAGTGGCATGATCATGGCTCACTCTATCTTCCATCTCCCAGGCTCAAATGATCCTCCCACCTCAGCCTGCCAAGTAGCTGAGACCACAGTGGCATGCCATCATATCTAGCCAATTGTTTTTATTTTTTGTAGAGATGAGGTCTTGCTATGTTTCCCAAGTTGGTCTTGAATTCCTGGGCCTCAAGCAATCCTCTTGCCTCAGTCTCCCAAAAGCTGGGATTACAGGTGTGAACCACCTTGCCCAGCCTAGCGACCTCTTCCTAAAAGCCCCTCTTGAAACAGGGCCAGTAAGACTCCAATGAGGCCCAAGGTTAAGGGATGGCAACTCTGCTGCAAACCCTGGCATTTGGAGCTCTAATTCCTGAGATAAGTCTCAGACCTCAGAGCCACACCACACATCTCACAACAGCCGCTGGTCTAGTGTGCTGGAGTTCTAACCGTGGGTGCAGAGTGGAGTGCTGTACACAGAGACCCCGCTGGCAGGAAGCGAGGACACCGAGCTGCCATCTGTTTTCATTAAGCCTTGCTGAGTGGGGAAGGTAGAAGTTATCTGCGCTAGGTTTGAAGCACTGCAAACATTTGTTTCTGAGTGGAACGGCCAGAGCAGACCCAAGGACTGGCTGGGCAGGGTCTCCTGGGTAAGAAGTAGTGCCCCTCTGGATGTGTGGGGCAGCCTCTCTGGAAGGTGCTACTAGCCAACGTAGGTCGCCTGGGAAAATGGCCACTGCCCACCCAGACCCTCGGGATTCCACATCCTGACTGTACCCCACCTCGGTCTCTGCCTGGTCCATCACAGGTACCCAGAAAACTAGAGATCTTCCAGAGTGATGTTTTTACCCTAACGTCCCCTTCAAGGTATCATGAGGATGCCCAATATTCCATTTCCTCCATCAAATCTAAATCCTTCTGCTTGGTTGCTAAGGGTCCCCACACTTAGACCCGACTGAGCGGCTCCCAGACCACACAGGGGACCTCCTGTGACACAACCACACCATCCTAAGCCTGTGTGTGCCCCAAATCCCCAGAAGCCCTCACTCCTGCCCTCTGCTGCACCTGGCCACGTCTGGCCTTCACCCTCGTATAAAGAGACCTTGCAGGGGAGTCACAGACGAGCTGTTTAGCAGTGCCTCTGTTTCCTTATCTATCAGATGGGGGAAATAAACGCACCCACCTCACGGGGTTGCTGTGTTTAATCAGAACGTTCGTGTCAAGCATTTCCTGAGTAATGCTGCGCTCTGGAAATGGCCCCACCCAGCCCCAGCAACAGCAACCCAGGTCTGACTCCAGATCACATTCACCTCTTCCCTCTTCCCTCTTTGAATCTTTACACATACTGTTTGAATTGCATGATTACCATGAAACATTGCCCAGGTAGGTGTCCATCTCCCCATTTAGGCTGCGGCATGCAGACCTCCCACACTGTCACCCCTCTGCATTTCCTTGGCTCCTTTGTGGCATCTGGCCCCACACAGCCCTGGATCTGGACTCAGTCATTTTCTTTTCATTAATCCACTGAAATGCTGTCACAAGCTCCTGAACACTTTCTTTCATGAGGGGCTTCAGGGGGAAGACTGAAGAGAAGTTATCTTTCTAATACAGCACTCTGAGAGGTCAACAGAAAATCTGATCACTAGAGCGTTGGCCTGCAGACGCTCACCAATGTCACATATTTAAGGAACAAAAAAAAGAAAAGGCTTTTGTTAAAATGACCTCTGAGAGGCAGCTGAGTTTTCAGTGGATGGGAGAATGCCATCTGGGTGTCATCTGACTGTCGCTGTTCCTTCCAGGAAAGCCCTGGAAGCCCACAGCGTGGCTAGCCCTGCCCGGGGTTTCCACGAGTTTCAAGAATCCAGGCTCCCCCACCGAGGGCCCCCAAAGCTGTGGTTAAAGGTTAATGGGCTCCAAGGGCAGCTCCCAGGGTTGGGAGGTATATAAGAACCCATCAGATCAGTCGGACACCAGAAGACAAGCAGAGAGAGACTCCTCCAGACCCACTCAGACCACACGCACGCTGTAAGTAGCCCTCGGAGAAAGGGGGTGGGGAGCGGTCGGCATGAACCCTAAAGCAGAACGGTGGTGCAAGCCAGAGCCAGCCTGGTCCAGGGCCCTCTGCCACCTTCCAGTGCCCAGCCAGGCTTCACACTGAGTGCCCGAGCTGATTCCCAAGGCATTAGTGAGCAGAGGCAGGGCTGAGGCACAGAGGCTGGAGGGAAGCAGGTGGGTGCACCTCCTGGCAAAGCAGCGTCTGTTGTGGGTGGGTCTGGCACATCCACGGTGGGCCGGGAACCCAAGCCAGAGCTCATCATGGATGCAGGGCTCCTCTTGGCATGGTGGCTTTGCTCTGGAAAGGTAAGGAAAAGCTGGCCCTGCGGTGACTCAGGCCTATAATCCCAGCACTTTGGGAGGCCGAGGTGGGCAGATCACAAGGTCAGGAGTTTGAGACCAGCCAGGCCAATATGGTGACACTCTGTCTCTACTAAAAATACAAAAATTAGCTGGGCGTGGTGGTGGGCGCCTGTAGTCTCAGCTACTCAGAAGGCTGAGGCAGAAGAATCGCTTGAACCCGGGAGGCGGAGGTTGCAGTGAGCTGTATGGCACCACTGCACTCCAGCCTGGGAGACACAGTGAGACTCCATCTCAAAAAAAAAAAAAAAAAAAAAGGAAGGAAGGAAAGGAAGGAAGGAAGGAAGGAAGGAAGGAAGGAAGGAAGGAAGGAAGGAGAAAGAAAATAAAAGAAAAAGTTGACCCCAGGGGACAGCACAAGGCTAGCCCAGCCAGGAGTGCCGCAGGGGAGGGCAGACGGTCACCCCCGTCATGCAGAGCTGGGCACTTGAAGGCTGAAGCCCCCCATCTCTGATGATGGGAAAGGAAAGTTAGTGCCTCACTGTACAATGAAAAGCTCCCTCTCCCACTTCCAGCTCGCCAGAACATATGAACTTAGGTGACATGCCGACTGCCAGTTGGATCAAGAAAATGAGCAGCAATTGGATTTTGCCTTTTTTTATTTAAAGTTTTTATTGATTCCTATGGAGTGAATTAAATACACCAGAATGAAACAGGATCTATAGCTTCTCTGAGAAGGAAATGGGACGCCATAAATGTGACACATCCGTCTCTGCTTGGGGGAAAAGCAGGCCCCAGAGACTCTTCAGGGAAAGCACAGGAATGAGACGGGTCCCACCCACCTCAACCCAGTCTCCGTTCAGCTCAGGCTCCTCTGGGGCTCCGCACAGGGCCTCGGCTTCCTGGGAGGTGGTCTTGAGTGGGCAGGTGGTCCTTTCAGCCTGCTGGGAATTTGCATACAGCTGGGATGGGGAGGCTTTCGCTGTCTGAGCTCTCTTGTTCTTGTTCATGGAGTTTGAACAAAATGGAGAGAAAATAGGAAGTGGGAAGAAGAGAGCTGGAATAGTAAGAAGGCAGAGGGAGCGTCTGGCTTGGCAGGGTGGCTTCAGATGACTGAGGAGACAGGTCTTGGCTGACAGGCAGGATGCAAGCCTGCAGCCTTGGAAGGTTCTGTTCAAAGGGGGAGCCAGGTTGAGACCTGCAGAGGAGCCCCGAGGCCTTTCCAGGGCAGACCCTCTCCTGCTGACAGAATCCAGGCTGCCTAAGGACTGGAGGAGCCTTTATCTGAAACCTTGTAACTACCTCCACCCCTACCCCTACTGCTGTCTTGGCCTCCCCTCTGAGCTACTGCTGTCCTGGCCTCCCCTCCCTGCTCGGAGGCCTGGCCCCTGCACTCAGCAGTCCACCCAGCACAGGAACAGCGGTGCCCAAGATGCATTCAACAGGCCTGCCCCCTGTGCCTTCCTCCACCTGCTATGGGCAGAGGCAACATGAAACGGGGTATGGGAAAAGCACTGGGCCTCAAAAGGCCAAGGTTCCAGCCCCTGCTGCCTTTGAATGAGTCAACCATGGCTGGCATTCAGCTAGGCCGTCCCACCCCCACCCCAGGACCACCCTGTCCCTGCCCAAAGTCTGCCCAGTGGACGCTTTCTTAAGGCTCTGTACCCCTGCAGTCACCATGCCGAACTGCTCCCCGCCAGGACCGGAGCTCCAAAAGCCCACCACAGCCCAATGTCCTGCCAGCTATTCTACACACACCTGCTTCCTGGTCAGCAATCACCGGGTTCCAGGGTGTGAGGAAAGAGGAAGCTCGCTCCCTGCTGTTTCAGGATGGTGGCCAAAGGCAGCTAGACGCACTGGAGCACGCGGCACGGGGCTTGTTCCCAAGACACCACTCCCCCAACAGGGAAGGGGGTGCCCTCTTGGCTCAGGGATACAGCTCCATGCTGAATTTTTCCATCTGGCTCATCCTTTGCAATGGTAGAGGTTCTACAGACCCAGGGTCCTGGCCTGGCACTTCCAGGCAGAGCCCTGGTCATCTGGGCTTGGGTCCACCCCTTTTGTCATTCTCATAGGCACTGGGGCAGGGAGGTTTCCCTGGGTCTTGGGGCACAGTTCTGTTGATAATCTAGGCATTCCTTCTCTGAAAGATGAGGTCCTCCTGCCTTATGAGCCCAGCTGACCCCAGAAGACCTCGCCTGTACCAAAAGAGAAGAACAGACAAGTGGAATGATTCCTCCCTGGTGTGTGGTAGGGGGCTCGACGGCCTTTCCCAGGAGCTTGGCCAGCTGGCACAGCTCTGGGGCAGAAAGGTGCTCAGAGCTCATCTGCTAAAGCTCTGATGCCAGGCCCAAATCCAGATAGGCTGAGCTCTGGCTGAAGATCACACAGCAAGAGCTGGGACATGGGCCAGAACTGAGGGCCCCTGCCTCGGACACAGCAGTCTGCCACTATACCCCAAACTTGGTGACAAGAGTTCCTTGTCATTGTCCAGCTCCAAGATGGTATCCCGTAAGGCTGTGGCTGCTCTGCTGGTGGTGCATGCAGCTGCCATGCTGGCCTCCCAGACGGAAGCCTTCGTCCCCATCTTCACCTACGGCGAACTCCAGAGGATGCAGGTAAGAACCTCCTGCTGCCTGCCTTGCTAGCAAGGCTGAGGTCACTATGACCTACACCAGCAATACCAAGGAAAGTGTGAAGGACCAGGACCCAAGATAACCCCCAGTCCCAGCCGCCTCTCTGGCCACCTTTGCGCCTTCACTGGCATCACTCAGACATGTCAGTGGCTCATATGAGCAACATCTTTCCCACCCCTGCCTATCCTTTGGAGGAAATTTTTAATTAACAAGCCAATAAATATTTACTGAGCTGCTCTGCAGTATAAGAGGCCACCCTGGGCGATGGGCCCAAGCATGCAAAAGAATCTCAGCACCTTCCCATCTCCAGGGAGCAGGCTGGGGTGCCAAGACACGAACATATGAAAAATTAACTAACAGTCGCAGACAAAAGAGAGATGTCACAGGCAGGGCATGATGAATTGCCCCATCAGTGGTGCTCAGGTTAAGAGGAGGGAGAATCACCAAGGGCTAGAGCGTGCTTGCAAGCCTGCAGGGAAAAGGTGGAACTCAGCTGGGGGCCTTGAGAGATCAGGAGCAAGGGACCAATGGGAGCCAGCACCCAGAGGCGGGAAACAAGGCTGTGGTCCATGTAGCAGTGGCCAAAACCTCCTCTTTAGGGCCCAGAAGAGAACCAGGCAGGCCTCGTGGAACTCAGGCAGTGGAGCCTAAGGAAAATGGAACAGCTGGCTCTGCCTCCCGGCTGCCTTTTACTTTAGACTTCAGGGATGCTGAGTGTCTATGCAGATGTTTGGTTTCTTTAATCCCAGGAGATGAAGAAAGGGACTTTCATGCTCCACCCTGTCTGACACTGAGACTCCAATAGGGATGAATACATGAGTTAGTGCCCAGGGAGGTCTTGAGGCTCTGGGGCACAGCCTGTCTGCAACTGCCCACTCTATGCGGGGAGGTGTGTGGGGATCCACATTCCCAGTGAACAGCGCTCTTTTGAGGGGCAAGGCCGAATCCAGATCCCCTTCCTCAAGCAGACATGGGAACTGGGTAGGTACTACAGCAGGCCCCAACACACTGTCTTCCACGCTGGCACGCTCCCCATAGGATGACTGTTTGTTCTAGAATCACCATGTCTCAGGGCAGGCCAACAGCGGAGTCCCGAGAGTGTCACTAGAGAAAGCAAAGCAATGAGAATCTCAGTGCTCGGGGACCTGGCCGGCAGCATGCCGGGCAAGACTGGTGGCTGGACAGGAATAGCCAAACCCAGTGGAACATAAACTAGCAAAATGGCAAGCAAAGGACACTGCATTAATCTGCTGCATGGCTTTTCTCCTCATAATTGCCAGGCACCGGGATTTTTATGAAGAAGCTACAAACTCCCTCCTCCATAATTTATCTCCTGTCTTGCCTCTTATAAATCACCTCCCAGGGACTCTGAGTTCCTGGGCCACCCCATGGCGCCCTCCCAGGCTAGGCTGACTTGCTACTTTTTTAATAGGCTCTCTGCTAAAAAAGACACATTTTCATACTTAATATGCATGAAGGGCAGCCATTATTTTCAGCTTTTTAAGTTAATTAACAGTAACAATCTGGGTGCAATGTTTTAACTACAAAGGAATGGATTCCTCTTCAAGTTGACCTATTATTGGTGGGCAACCTCAAGGGCCATCCATGAGCCACTAGTTAGTATCTGAGACTCCTCTTGCAGAAGGCTCCTGGGGGGAGGGTTCTTTCAGTCTGTAGGGAGCTGGGGGCAGGTAGCGTCCTGGGCAGATGGAGACAGGTGAGGGGCCATCAGGGTGGGTTGAGGGAGGGCAGTTCTGTGCAATTTTCTGCTCTGCCCTTAGGAAAAGGAACGGAGTAAAGGGCAAAAGAAATCCCTGAGTGTATGGCAGAGGTCTGGGGAGGAAGGTCCTGTAGACCCTGCGGAGCCCATCGAGGAAGAAGGAAATGAAATGATCAAGGTGAGCAGACAACCGGGACAAGGGAGAGAAACTCACAGCAGGGCATGCATTCCCCTGCCTGGCCTGGAGGCAGGGCCCACGAACCACAGCGAGCCTCAGAGTGTCCTAGGATACAGCAGTGAGCTCCATCCTCGTAGGGAGAGACGGACTCCAACAACGAGATAAATCAACCATTTCAGGCACCAGATAAGGAAGTAGGAGAGTGACTGAGTGGGGTTTGGGGGGCTGCTTTGTCCCTGAGATGGGTCAGGGAAGGCCTCTTGGAGGAGGTGACATTTGACTTGAAACCTGAATGAAGAGAAGGAGCCACCTGTGCAAAGAGCTGGAGCAAGGACCTCCTGGGAGAAGGAACAGTGAGCACAAAGACTGAGAAGCACTGGTGGGCGCCAGGCCCTCGTGGCAGGCGTGAGTCGAGTGGGCAAGAGGGCAGCATGGCCAGCCCAGGCAGGGCCTGCATGCAGCGCCACTGGGGATTCAAAGCAGGGAAGTCACCGGAGCCCTCTCAGAGCTGGGGCAGCACGAGTGGAGGCAGGAGGCCAGACAGCAGGTGCTGCAGTCCTCCGGAGAGAGGTGGCGAGGGTGTCAGTTCCTCCCCTCCCAGACAGAAACCCAGGAGCCAGCCACAGGCCTCAACACCCAGGGCCGACTGTTGGGGCTGGGGAGAACCTTGAGCTTGTCCCGTGAGCTCTTTTATTTCACAGACTCGTTTATTTGGGTGATCAATAAATGAGCCCCTACTAGGTCTGAGGCACTGTTCCCGGCACTGGGGACGGGGTGGTGAACAGACAAAATCTCCGCCCTTGTGGAACTCACGCTCCATAGGGAAGAAGAAACAAGATCCTAGGACGACTGAAACAGACCACAAACAAGGTAAAGACAGGAAGCAAACTCAACAGTGTGGCAGGCAATGACATGTGCGATGGAGGGAAACAGAGCCACAAGGAGCCGTGGTGGGTTATGGATCTCAGTGGGCAACAGCAGGCGTCCTAGGAGACGGTAGGGGCACACAGACCAGAAGAGAGCAAGGCATGAACCACAAGGATTTCTGGGTGAAGAGGCTTCCAGGCGGGAGGGACAGCCAGTGCAAAGTTCCTGAGGCAGGAGAGGGCCCGGTGCATTCAGGAAGAGGGAGGAGGCCAGAGAGACTGGCGGAGGGGCAGGGGCAGCTGTGGAGTTCACAGGCCACTGGACTCTCCATTCACTCTGCTGAAGTGGAGCCCTCGGGGGTTCTGAGCAGAGGAGGGCCGGATCTGATTTACATTTTAAAGGGGTCTCTCCAGCTGCTGAGAACAGACTGCAGGGACCGGACAAAGGCAGAGTTAGGGAGGCCGCTGAGGAGGCTGCTGTAGTATGAGACACAGAGAAAAAGAGAGAGGGAGACTTCGGCCTCAGGCGGTCTTGGTGGAGGCAGGGCAAGGAGGTTGGATGTTTTACATATTTTGGAGGTAGAAGCCCACAGGATTTGCTGAAAGAATGGATATAGGATGTTAAGAAAAAGTGAAAATTGACTTCAAGGGTTTGGGCCAAAACAACTAAAGAGGGATTTGCCACTCACAGAGACAGAGTAGTCTGTGGTTGGCTGCAGGATGGCAGGAGGAAGATCAGGAAGTCAGACTGGGCCTGAAAACCATGAGATGCTCTTGGGTATCCAGGCAGAGACATTGCCCGGGCAGGTGGACATACAAGTTTGGAGTTCAGGAGAGACGTGAGGGCTGGAGGCACACGTGTAGGAGTCATCCGTGGTTAGAAGGAATTTCAAGCTAGGCACGGGTGAGCCATTTGAGGAGACAGGTATGGATGGAGAAGCAGAGGCCCAGGCCTGAGTGTGGGTCACTTCCACACAAAGGGGCCCAAGGGGCGAGAAGACTGACATCCAGAGAGAGCAGGAGTCTCCTCGTCATGGTCACATAGGAGTCAGGGCAGAACCCAGCTGGACTCCCACCTCCCACTGGACACAGGCCAGTGATCCTTCCCGGTGCTGTCAGGCCCAGAGAACAACCTGGGTGCTGTCGCCGCACTCAGCACTCAGCAAGGTGGGGCTCCTTTCCCCCCACATCCACTCCGAACTCCTTGGGCTCCTGAGGAGGGAGCTGGGAGGGAATCCAGCAGCTGGCGAGCAGGAGCACACTCAGAATCACCTCCTAAATGCACCTGAGTCGGAGTTTGAGGCACTAACTCCAAGGTTGCCCGGGGACATGGTATGTCCATGAAGCCTTCTTGGGAAGGCTTGGGTGGGGCCCCTCTCACCTCTTTCCATCTCCTAGAACCACGACATACAGAGCTGGGAGGGCCCTTTGGGAATGCCCAATCCAGCCTCCTCGTGTTCAAGTAAGGACCCTGCTAGAGGGTCTAGAGGGAGAGGCATAACCACAGCCGGGAATGGCACAGGCAGGACTGAACTGGGGCACTTCAGACACCCTTCAGGCACCCTGAGCCCCCAAGGGTCTAGGAGGCTCATTCCTGGAACCCAGGGAGCCCGGTGGGAGGCAGAGGCCAGGAGTCTTCCAGTGTGCTGGCTAGTTTGTGCAGCAAGAGCATTGATCCAGGAAGCTCTGGGGGGTGGGGGGGGGGGTGACAGGGAGATCAATCAGTGCCCTAGGCTCTGCCTCGAGGCTGCAACTACCCCTTTGGTGGAGAGCCTCCAGACAAGAGGAAAGGTAGCCTGGTGGTCGTGGGCACAGACCCTGGAGCCAGGCCCCTTGGATGTAACATCTTCATCCTCTGCTCCTTACCACCTGTGTGGCCTTGAACAAGTTACTCAATCTCATTGTCCTCAGTTTCCTCATCTGCAAAATGGGAACAGTAACCGTCCCTACCCCACAGAGCTATTGAGAGGTTAATATACATAAAGCACTTAGAATAAGTGTAAAGCGTAGAATAAGGGTAAGGCTCCACAATGTTGGCTATTACTGTTGAGGGGGCAGTGAATTCTCTCCTCATGAGAAAAGCCTGCTGGGGTTCCTGCTGATACCCGTCCCCCGCCCCGCCCCGCCCCACGTCCCAGCATCCCCATTAGGGAAGGTGTGCTGATCCTCTCAGCAGGACTCAGCGACCTTCAGGATCCAGCCCTCTGGTTAGAATTAGGGGAAGGTGGCAGAATTCCCAGCCATCCCTAGAGGCTCTAGTGGGGTCTGCAGGGTGGTGTGGCTCCCGTGGGTCCCTCCTGCCACCTGTAGTGCACCCAGGGGTTAAGGGCCCTCTCCACACCTCTCCCTTGTTATTAACACTGCCTTATTTCACAGCTGATTGCTCCTCTGGAAATTGGAATGAGGATGAACTCCAGACAGCTGGAAAAGTACCGGGCCGCCCTGGAAGGGCTGCTGAGTGAGATGCTTCCCCAGCACGGTACGGGGAGGGCGGGCATCTCTGCAGCTTGGCCAGCCTCCGCCCACCCTGGCGTTAATACTCCAGAGGCAGGGTTTCAGGGTGGCAATTTGTTTGGCGGCTTTGCACTTGAGAATGTGGAGCTGTCTTCTCCCTGGGCTATGCTGTGATACCTGCTGGTGGCTGCAGAGCCCCAGTTCTCCAGGGAGGCAGGGCTCAGGCTGGGTTCCCAGCAACCCACCCCACTCTCCTGCTCCAGATATTTTAATTCCCTCCCACAACATCACCACGGGGCGGTTGCTCCGAAGGAAACCTTGGTGCACTTTCCCGTCCCCATTCATTCTGCAAATTAAAGTCCTGAGCCCCATTTGGCCTTGCCCAGTTCAAGGTCTGCCTGAGTTACGTGAGCAAAGCTACATCTCCTCTGACAAACAGCCACTAATTACTTCTCATAGTCCCCAGGAGGAGAGAAGAGGCTCGAGGAAGTGCTGTTAGTGATGGAGAAACTGGGAGGTTAAATGACTTGCCCCAGGCTATAGGCAGCTTCCAGGCTCCTTGCAAAACATCCCACCTTCCTGCCCAGCCTGTCCTGGTGCCCCCTCCTCCCTCCGACCTGCAGGCAGGTTTTAGAGGGCAGTTTCATAAGCAGACCTGCTGATGGTACTGAGTGCAAACCTCTGCTTTTCTGCAGCAGCCAAGTGACGGCCATGCTGGGGAGAAGGTGGACAGATTTGGGAGGACTCTCCCGCCCAAGTGAGGCCCTGGGAATTTGCACAGCCTGCCAGCTGGGCTTGGAAGAATAACACCCTTTCCAAAGCAAATCCCCCTCCAGCAAATAAAGCATGAAATATACAGAAATGACTCTTATTTAATATTTTAATTCCCAAAGGGCAAACTAAGGTCGCAAGAAAAAGGCGGGAAAAGTAAAGCTCAGAGAAAGTTGGCCATAAATAATGCTTACATTAACATTGTGTGCCTTTTGTGAGTTCAAATATTAACTCAGATCCAAACAACTGAAAGAGTACCACTCACTGGCCCTTCCATTATAGGTGAGGAAACTGATCATTTTTTTGCCCACACACTGAGCCAGTGACAGACTGAGGACTGGAATTCAGGTCTCCCAGGTCTCGGTCCATTTTTAGTTTACTGACACGCTCGAGGTCTAATGGGCCAGAGAATTTTAGGGCCTCTGCACTCAACCCCTTGCCAAGTAACTTCCAACCAGCCCTTTAACCTCAATGAGCCTGTGCAAAACCAAGGTGGTAATATCTGCCTTGAGATCTGGGATGGAGGCACAAGCAAAGAGCAAATTACTATTATCACCTTGTGACTATCAGCTCCAGCATCCGCAGCAGAATTACACAGCCAACCCACTTATTTTTGCCTTCTAAACAAAACTGGATGGGAAATTTCATTCTAATTTAATTTTACATTAATGAATGTTCATTTATTTATAAACTGGGGCCACATCGGAACTGCAGCTCCCTCCATCCATAGGTTACCAGCAATTAGACAGTGTCCATTCTGCATTTCCACCCAGGCTTAGCCACAGAAAGTAGTTACCAGAACAAGAACTCCAACGCTGAACAAGAGACCCTTGTTGGAGGTACTCTGAATTCTCCCGAGAAACACTCAAACCTTCCATGGGCTCCCACCCCTGCCACACTGCACATTCACATGCATTTCCAGCACATATACCGATCAACCCCTGAGCAGCTGCAGGTTCCTGGGAAATGCTGCCAAGACGCCCGGTAATAGAGAGAGAGGGCTGCGGCAGAAGGGCATGCGGGGGGCGGCGGGGGAGACACAGAAATCTATAAAGCCTGCTGCTGGGAAGATCTGGATCCAAGACTCCTCCCTGCCCTTCCGAGCTCCACCAAGCCAGTTCACCCCATTTTCTGTAACACACTCCAAGAAGCAGAGAAACAAGATGCTCACGGTGGTCCCCTTCCCCGTGGAAAATGCATTTTGTGTCCTTCCCTCATCCTCTGCTGGAATCTGACCCTGTAGCGAGACTGCCTTCCCCCACCACCAGCAAGGGGTGCCCATTTCTGGGGCGGGGACCCAGCACTGGCTGGGGCATTTTCCCTGAGATTCTGGGTGTTGAAGAGCCTCTAGTTGAAATAGACATCCACCACGGAGGGACATGGGGTCCCCAGGAGACTGCCCAGGCGGTCTGCACTGTTTAGGTGGGAATTGGTTCAGCAACCACAGCACTGGGGAAGGGAGAGGGTGCATTCTGCAGAAAAGCCCCGTTCAAAGCTCAGCGCTGCTGCCCAACAGCCCCAACCCTCACCCCGCGCCCTCTGATGTGCTTCTCGGTAATGAGCTGCAACAGAGACCCAGCTACCACCAACATCTGTATGCACAGTGCCCTGGCCGCTTGTTTAGATGTGTCGGCTCCTTTCTTCTCTGGTTTTCCTCCTCCTGCCACTGTTCGATTTCTCACAATCAGCTCAAATAATTCTTTTTTCACTAACAAGCTCCTCCAGTTTCCAGGATAGCCGACTCGATTGCTTATGGGACATCCACAGCTTTGGAAGAAATTAAAATTGGGAGGAGGTTGGGGAGGATTCTGTGAGCTGAGTGAAGAGAAAATGACCATGCTTTCACAAAACAGAAGAAAAAGAGACATGCTCCTGGTTAAAGCAATAGAATGAGTGGGACCAGAGACCAACCAGGATCAGAGATAGGGAGGGTAGCTGGAGTAAGCAGGAGAGCAAAGACGCCATTCCTCTTCACACCTCACCCAAGCTTATCCAGCAACATCTGCAAGAATCTCTCCAGATATCTGGCAATTACAGAGAGGACGGATTACCCCGTGTTCATCTGGAATGTACTTTACACTTAACAAGACCAGAGGTCATTACAGTGCAACTTGAACCTAGATTCACAAAATGGAGATGATGAGGTATTTTCTTGGTAACCGCATGTGTGATTTTAGCATTACTGAGCTATGTGGATTTGCCATGAAATTGAATAGTTAAAAGCAAAGAGTAATTGCCTGATATCTGTACGCTGTAATTTAGTGTAATCTAATCATGGACAAAGCCCAAAAGAAAATATTCTCAAAGCATTACATTTTTCTTCATACACAATTTGTTATTGACATTGGGTAATATATTTCATGCCTTTGAAGGAACTCTTACTCATGGATATCAAAGTGTGAGAGCAGTCAAAAGAGTGAGGGATTTGTTTAATTTTCAACAGATTATGAAACACCATTCTGGCATTTCTCTGTGGCTCCATTTTCCCCCTGAGCTGATGCACCCTCAGACCTAGAGAGAGAGAAAAAGAGTGCCCTCCTCTTCCATAAGGCACTGAGATGGAACAGCGGGAAGCTGGGTGTTCCTGGGGTCATTCCAGTCAAAATCTGAGCCCCAAATGGCCCCACGTTTCAACCACAATCTCCCGGCGCCCTGCCCCCACTGTAATGTCACCTATTATGTAGGTGGGGAAGCCCTGAATAGCTGAGGCGACACATGAGGCCCTCCATGAGGGGGATCAAGGACGAGTCCGTGGTCCCTGAGTATCTTTGAGTGCCTGATAACTGTGTGCAGGGCTTTTTGCAGGAGAAGGAGGAGAATGGAACCCACTAAAAGATTTATGGCTGTGATTATTATAAGGCTCAGCCAAGACAGAGAGAGGTCAGCGGGACGGGAGTGTGGCAGCCCCCCGGGAATCCAGAGCGTGCTCCGAGCAGCCCTTCACCTCTGCCAAATGTGTGGATGTGGTTACTAAGTCGATTTACATATTGGAGCTTATTTTTCCTCTTCTGCCTTTAATACATCAGGAAGACGGACCACAGCCTGAGCTGCTGCTCACCTTAAAAAAAACAACACAGCAGTGATGAGAAAGGAGGGCATGCAGAGCAGCCTCTGACTTTGCAATATTGCCCTTTTCTTTACAATATGCCTTCCTGCCGTGGACAGGCCCAGCAGGAGAGCCAGGCTGAAGGCACAGAAAGGCTGGCTCCCAGAGGCCCTGGTGGGCTTCGTGGGCAGCTCCCAAAGGGGCAGCAGTGGCAAAGAAGAGCTGAGGTCGAGCCCTTCCAAGCGGAGGGGAGCGTGTGGATGGTTGTGTGGAGGAAAGCAAAAAGGAACACGCCAACTTCACTAAACCAAAGAAGGGCAATAAATCTGGGCAGGAACGTGACTGGAGCTGGGAGTCCAGGATGAAAAGAAAAGGCCCAAAAACTGGGAGGAACGCCTGACTAACTTGTGAAGTTCCTTCTCAGAGGAGGTGGGGAAGTGGAGCATTGATCAGCAAATTCGCTGTTAAGTGGTCACTGGGTGTCCCTTGGTGCACACCCAAAGCCCTGCCTGTAGGATCCTGCAAGACAAGGCCATCGACAGCCAGAACCCACCATGGAGGTAGAAGGGCTGACCATGGGTGGCCAAAGGCCACAACTCCAAGCACAGTGGGTTCTACACCAGAGGGAAGACAACAGAGTTCTGGGGGAGGGGCTGTGGGCCACTTGACCCTAGATGTGTGGAACGGCAGCAGTGTCCCCAAACATAAGGAAGCTGACAAAGCCCACACTGTGTGCCACCACTGGGGGTGGCTCCAGTTCAGTCCATATTTTTAAATCGCCCTGAGATCCATTGTGATAAAATAGACCATAACTCTGTGAGACGCTGTAACGATAACTTTGTTTAAGCATTAGTTTCAAGCCCTCTTAGAATACGTGGGGCCAGTACTGATGCTGAAAGGCTCATTCTTTATATATTGAACTGCACAGCTGCAAGGAGCTGCACAAATGTTACCAACTCATTTGTCATGCAAACAGTGCTTCAGAAAGAAATAAAATACTATTATGTGGTATATGTGTTAGGCAATCACTATATCAAATTCACGGCATTCCGTGCAAACACAGACAGAGAAAAGGAAAACAACACTTGGTGAGAGAAATCACACCACATGGGAGCAGCTAAGTCAGGGGAGATGGGGAGGCCAACAGTGGAAGCTGACCAAGCTGAGGCTGTAATTTTCCCAGCAATTGTGGCCAGGGTTGAATACCCCTGAGGTGGAGCAAGTGGCAGGAATGCAAAACCCAGACAGAGGAGCATAGCATTGCCCAGCGTGTCAGGGAGGGGAGGGAATAAAGTGAGGAGTGGGTAAGGGGTCTGTTGGGACAGATATGGGGATTCCAGGGAGAAGGGGCCTGCGGGAAGGGGAGAATGGAATAGCAGGGGTAGAAATAGATGGAACCTATTGGGCCAGCAATAAATGTTTGGGAATGGGAGTTGAGGGATGTGGAAGGAAGATTATAAACTGGCTCTATTTTCAGTTGCCACATTCCCTTGCTTCCCTTAGGAGTTTCCTGCTAAGAGCCTTCATGTAACCAAATCACCTGCCCTGTGGGAGACTCTACACAGCACTGACACTGCAAAGATGTGGGTTAAGTATAAACACGCATGAGCGTGTGCCCCGCACTGTCCCAAGCACCTTAGCCAAACTACCTCTTCTAAGCCTCACAGCAACTCTATTGAGGTTTACTGGCAAACAAGCTAAAAATGTTAATTGAATATGATCACACATCTAATAGTTGTGAGTAGGGATTTGAAACTGAACTGACTGGCTCCAAAGCCCACATCCTAAACCACCAGTGAGGCTACAGGACCGTGTATCTCTGGAGTCTTCTCCCACCCATGTCTCCTTGTAAAAATCCCATTACGCAGACACAGGCCCTCCGCAGAGAAGCCTCAACTGCCCACTCGAGCCCAAGGGCATTTTGCTCCTCTGCCTCCACTATGGAAACTGCGTCCCCTCCAGGCTGGCGCTCCTTGGGGGCCAGTGTCTGTCCTAAGGCTGGGATCACACCTACTTGGTGCTCAGTGTCGCCCAGTGAACAAGCCCGAAGTCGGGACAGGGTCTTGGAGCATGCCTGGCGTGCACTATACGGCCCAAATAAAACCGGATCACACATCAGTCCCCAAGCCCAGATAGGCAAATGATCCTGTCTCTCCATTCGGGGCAGTGACTTCGCTCACCATTAACCAATTCATCCATTAAATCAACACTGACTTTACTGAATGCTTACCGCGTGCCAGAGGCAAAGCTAGGGTTGGAGGACTCAAAAGATTAATACTGTTTGATCTAACAAACAAAGGGAAGTGGGAGAGCGGAGAGAGAGGGAAAAACAAAACAAAAAATTTAATCCCCCTTGGACCTTCCCACCATGGCGGCTCTAAGAGGCACGTCAGACCTCCTCATCATGGCCGACCCATAGGCCGAGCGCAAACCTTCCCAACATGGCGACCGACCTTCCCATCATGGCGCGGGGCCCCGCCCGCTCCGCCGCGCCTGCGGGAGGGA